GCGAATCTCTGTGAGTTTGAGGCCAACCTGGTCTACAGAGTGAGTTCTAGGACAGCTAGGGCTACACAGAGAAACCCTGTCTCGAAAAACAAAAACAAAAAACCCAGTGGCTAGACAACCAAATTGCCTTGAGGTGTATACATTAGCAGAGTAAGGAGGTGTGCTGGCTGAATATCTTGCTGTATGGGCAACAAAGACCCATGTGGAAAATATTAGATAGGCTTCATGGACTTTCTCAGACTTAGTCTATTAGTGTTTTGTTGTTGTTGTTGTTTTAGTTAATAACTAAATATTTTCATTGTTCAGGAAAAGAAAAAAACTATTACCAGATCTATGTTGCAGTCCTTTGACTATGATAATCTCTAAATGCTGAACATTTCCTCTCTCCCAACTATGTAAATTGGTAGACCAAATTCTAGCCACATTATGCTTGCTCAAAAAAAATGAAACCACCCACCTACGCCTTTCCAAAACAAGTCACTTCTAAAAATACAGAACAGGCCTCAGGGTAACTGGGTATTCTTTCCTACCTTCCTCTCTCCTACCACTTGTGGTAACTAAGTTAAAGGACATGTCACAGACCTCATCTACCAACCAACCATCCTCCTCTATAGAATACCCCTTCCTAGGCAGCCTTCCCCAAAGAGGATGAGATCTGAAGACTACTTAAAGCATAGGAAAACACAGTAGTCATCTGGGTGGGGATGCTTTCTCTGAAAGAGTCCAATGGAAAATGGGGGTACGGGGATGGGGTATAGGGAGGAGGGGGGCTGGAGAGATGGCCCAGCAGTTAAGAATACCTGTTGCCTTTACAAAGGACCTGAGTTTGATTCCTAGTACCCACATGGTACACATGCATACATACAAAATAAACTTAAATTTTTTTTTTTTTTTTTTTAAAGAGGAACCAGTAGAAAGAAAAACTCTGAGGTGTTCTGAGCCACAGGTCAGAGAATGGAGAGAAGAGACTAGATCTTTTTTAACTGTTTCAGGTTAAACCAGCAAAGGAGAAGAAAATCTGTCCATGTCACTTTTCTGTATTTAAGTTCTTAAGGTCATAGCATATCCTACTTTTGGAAACAACCAGCCAGGAAGTAGGGAGAGTTAAGGGCTAGAAAGGGCAGCACATACCTTCCACATATAATCCTACTAGCTCTTGGAGCCTGAGGCAGAAAGATGGCCATGAGTGCAAACTAGCCTGGGATACAGTGTAAAAATCTGTCTCAAAAAGGAAAAAACAAGACCCTTCTCTTCATAGACTAGCCTCCTTCCCGTTGACAGTTTCTGTCTTGTCCCTGTAATCTAGAACAAGTGAAGGTTCAGTATGATCCATCTACTCACTACTCCCCAAATCTCACTATGAAATACCTCAGCCTCAGGTCCTATGGACACTTTCCGAAATGTGTCACAGTCCTCCGTCTTCAGTTCCTATCTGTACAGTGCCACTTCTTTGTTTTTTTAAAACATTAACAATTTTACAGTTCGTTTTATGTATATGGGTACTTTGCTTGTGTACTGCTTGAGCAGTTGAATACCATGGAACTGGAGTTACAGATGGCTGTGAGCTGCCATGTGGGTGCAGGGAATCAAATTCAGGTACTCTGGAAGAAGTCAGCCCTCTTAATTCCTGAGCCATTTCTTTCTCCAGCTCCACTTCTTGGGCGTCAGGGCCTTTCACAGTGTCTTCTGAGATAGAAGTGACAAGGCAAGTCTCTGAGGCCTATTTATATGCATGTACATGCACATACATTTGCATAAGTACGGGTGTAAACAGAGACCAAAGATAGCCTTGGGCATTATTCCCATCTACTTTTATAGCATTTTGTTGTTGTTGTTGATAGACAAGGCCTGGAACTCACCAAGCGAATGAAAAGAAGAAATGAAAAGGAAAGGAAAGGACACGACTACTCCTGGGTATGGTGGAGGAGAAAGTTTATTATAGATATGTGGAGAGCACAGTAAGAGCCAGGGACATCTGGGAGAGTCCAGAGTGGACATGCCTAGACTGAGCTAGGCCATGTGGGGTGAGGGGGAAGGAAAGGGGAGAGAGGGGAACCAGGTGCAGCAGCCAGGAGGCAAAAGATACAAAAGGGAAGGGCAACCAAATGTCTGGATTATATTGGGAAGAGCCTCTGGGAGGAGGGCAACCCAGCCTCTGGGCTGCAGAGTTCAGGGTAGAGGGCTCGGGGTATGTTGCCGTCCATACCCTGTAACAGGTAGGGACTGAAGGATGCTGGGAGAACCAGGTGGCTCCTCAGAGTTTGTTAAATAGGCAAATGAGAGTTTTTTCCCATGTTTGAAAGTGAACACCAAGTAGACCAGGGGAGCCCAGGGAGCCATCTGTTTTGGTCTCCCTGGTACTGAGATTGTGTACACCACTACTGTTCCTGGCTTTTTTATGTGGGTCTTGGGGATTGAGCTCAGGTCCTCATGCTAGCAAGGTAACTTTGACAAATGAGCAATCTCTCCAGGCCCATCTGGGGCCTCTTCTGTGAAAGCACCAATTTCATTCATAAGGATAATGAGCTTATGACCTCCCCAAAGCTCCCTTTTTAAACTCAGAATGGAGGGGAACAAACACTGAGGCCACAGCACAGAAAGTGATGCTACAAAAAGGGGAGGATACAAGCTGGGACTGTAGACAGAACCCACAGCCCAAGCTAGCCTCAAGAGCATTATGACTGATGGTTGGAGAGCACGGCAACAGGCACAGACAAAACAAATAATTAAAACTCTTTAAAAAAAAAAAAAAGCATGAAATGACCTTTAGTTTAAGATATATTTGAAACAAATGAATTACGCATAAACTTGGGTCTTATTCCAAGTTCTCATTTTATTTGTTTGTTTGAGACAGGATTTCTCTGGTTGTCTTGGAACTCACTTTGTAGAACATGTTGACCTTGAACTCAAGAGACCAGGGCTACTCAGCTTCCCAAGTGCTGGGACTAAAGGTCTGTACTGCGACCACCGCACCACCACTCTGTCCAAGTTCTCATTTTATATATGCAAATATTTCAACACTCACCTTAAACCTAACAGCCCTAAGCATTTTGGAAAGGGGTTGGCAACTTTGCATGTCTCTTGTTCTTAACCCTCTTCTACTGGCGCAGCCCTAAGTCCTGTGGAGCCTACACTCCTTGTGGGGAGGTCACACTAGTATCACAGGAGGAGCAGGAAAGGCAATGAGAAGGCAAAGCTAAGAGGTCTGCTGAGGACCATAGGAGATGAAGACATTGGGTTGGAGAGAAATGCACTCGACCTTGGAGACCAGATCCTGGCTGCACCCTCTTCAAACACCAGCCACACCCCTCAGAACACCGAAGCAAGCAAGAGTGGCCCAGGAACACACAAAGCATGCCTACACGTGGTCACACGATGGTGCTGTAACTGGTATTCGTTCTTCCTGAAATGTAGCTACTATTTTGAAGATCACCTCATTAAAATACACTTTGTGAAGTAAAGGACAGGTTTCTCCTCTTCACTGGAAGATTTAGAAAAGGAGAGAAGTCTCTTCCAGGGGCTTTATCTGTACACCTGCAGTTTCTTGGAGTGGCCTGGCAAGCAGCACCTGGGACTGCAGAACAGCAGAAGCAATGGGCATCTTTAGGCCCAGTCCTGCTCACCTTGGTCTTTGGGCTAAGGCTGAATATCCTGTGGCAAAGAGCAAGCAGGTCAGAGTCCTGGAAGAACTGAGCTGTTTTTGGAAATCACTCACCGGGGGCAGCTGGCAGGTGGTCACAGGCTGGACGTCCCTGACACTCTGCTCCTGAACAAGGAAAACATCTTGCGGAACTGGAAGAGATGGAAAAGATGTCCCAAAGAGAGCCAGGCCTGGGCCCCAACACCTCCCAGACTTCCAGGGGTAGCTCTGTGCTTCAGATTGTGCAAGAAAAGGAAAGCAGAGAGGGACCAACAGGGAGCCATTCCTGGTGCTCTGCATAAACCTCACTCTGTCTTAACTTGCAAAATGAGCACTTTGCAAACCACAAGGGTTCTGGTAGTCGTTCAGATAGACAACAGAGGCTATCACTGGGAAGGTGTGGGTTTAGGATGGCCTGATTAATTAGCTATTCAATCTCTGTAGATCCAGGGACCAGTTTCAGCATCTAAAATATGCCCAAGAGCCAGGTATAGCATTACATTATCAGTCAGCAGTTGAATCAGTGAAGAAAACAAGGTCTACAAGAGAGACGAAGAGCTAAGGAAGGGTGGGGAGGACAAAGGGCACATGACATTGAAGTGGGGAGGAGACTACTAGGGTAAAATAAAGGGGGAATGAACAGAAGGGTGGGGAGGAGATCAACAAGAACTATAACCTAACACTTTATATGCAAAAATATGTATGTATATTAAAGTTGTATGCCATCACACCAGGCTGCATATTGCCTCTTACATATACAGTGTTCTGGATACGTATCAGAAGAGGGCACCAGACTGAACTGTAGATGGTTGTGAGCCACCATGTGGTTGCTGTGAATTGAACTCAGGACCCCTGGAAGAGTAGTCAGTGCTCTTAACCTCTGAGCCATCTCTCCAGCCCTGCATACTGTCTCTTAAAATTCATTTTTCCCCCACCACTTGGGAGGCAGAGGCAGGTGGATCTCAGTGAGTTTCAGGCCACATAGCAAGTTTCATGACACTCAGAAGGACCTGTCTCAACAAAATAAACAAGAGTGAGAACAAGAGTGAAAAAGAGAGAGGGGAGAGAAAGAGAGGAGGGAGAGAGAATATTCAAGCAAAAATACAGACACTTGGGATCCCAGTCAGTCATAGAAGGTGAAATCTATCACCTGTGCAGCGTGGGTGACCCTGGAACACATATCCTGAGAGAAATAAGCCAGGCACAGGATAACCAGCATGGCTCAATCTTGCTCATATATGGAATTTTAAAACTTAGTAGGGTATGATGGTGCTACAGTCCCAGCATTTGGTAGGCCAAGGAATAAACATCCAAACTCTGAGGCCAACTTGAGTTATACAGTGAGTTCCAGGCTAATGACACCTAGCCTCAATAAATAGAGTATTATTTCTAACTATTTCATGCTATATCATAGGTTTCCCAAGCAAGTTTTAGAGCTCTTTGTGGTATCTGGAGGAAATGTTTTAATTCTGTTCCCTAATTCCCGCCACCAACCATGGATGGATCACTGTCTTATTCTACCCAAACAAAGCCTAGCTTTGAGGGAAGAGCTTCACAAGTAGAAGCTGTATCTCTAGCAAATCCTAGTGTTTAATGTTTTCCCAATGCTGTGCAGCAGGAAATCCTGTACTGAGTATTGCTCAAGTAAGCAACCCAAAGCCAGAGTGGATGCTTCATTATCTCAGACAACTGGGGTTCTAGAAGGTTCTTCACAGCAGGCCTCTCCCTGGGCATTCTTCCCCTAGGACTGCTTATATATACGTATCCCCAGGCTGCTTGCACAGTACTGTTGATTTGGGGAAATGGACATTTCCTGATATATCTGAATTATTTTCCCTGGAAATTCACATGCTCAAATCCTCACCCCTAGGCATCTCAGAATGTGACTGTATTTGGAGGAAGGCTCTCCAAGGAATCAATTAAGTTAGAACAATGTCATGAGCATGGACCCAAATTCAACATAACTGGTGTCACTAAAGAGGGGTAGCTAGAAGACAGCTATACAGTTAGAAGATACAGCAAGAAGTAGCTCTCTATACATGAAAGTAAGGAAGCTCTGAAGAACCCAAGGCTGAGCTCTCCTTCACTTCAGACCTGCAGCCTCACAGCTGTGAGAGAATAAACTGCTGTTAGG